TTATGGGGATGTGAAAGTAGAGAATACATGAACCATCAGACAAATGTTTTCCAGCTATCTGGGTTTTTGGCTTAAAATAGTAATCATCAATCAATCAAGTTGTGATCAGGATGTTAAAACCATGAAAGTAGCCTATATACGGTTACCTATATCCAACCCTGATGTCTGTCTACATCATGTATTAGTGGGTGATATCATTACTCTAGAAGTACCAACAAGGCTGTTGTCTTATTTATTCCTAATCTAATTAACTAACCCCTGAATTGCTTAATCTTGCAAGTCCATAGACAGACTGATATCTGCATATAATTGGTTTCCAATATGTTAGTTAATGCAAAAAGAATACAGAGCTGGATGAAAAGGTCCACAAGAATGTTAGAGAAGCTACAGTTGACTCTGTTGATAAATGCCATATTTTGGCATTAACTCCAGCTTGAAGGAAACTTCAACTCTATGCCGCAATAATCATTATTAATGGTATGGACATTGCAATATTTAAGCATGTTCATCTTCAGTAATCTAGGATAAATCATTACAGCCTTATGTCCTATGAAATATATTATAATTCTCCTATTTACAGTTCCACTGCAATGCCCAGCATCTGTTGGTATGCATATAGTTGTATATATTATGATTTACAGACCACTACTACCATCTACATCAAAACCTCCTTAAAAAACTAACTAAAGATACAGAAACCCAGTGCACTAGATAACAGCCTCTACTACTGCATCCAAATTGTATCTACCTACTGATGATGGAGATATTTATATTACATATCTGTTAATAATATATTACAATACGTCTTTTCTCTCAGCGCCTTTGTACAATCTTAAATTGAAGGTAGTATGTAGCTTATTTAAGAAACCTGGAATTTGTTGTTAATTGTTAGGTCATAATTAAAAATCTTGGATTTAAATCACATTATATGATATTACAAAACAACACTGGACATTTAGCAACTTAACCACTAAATCAAAATTAAAATTCAAGCTGGCATCTGCATAATTATGTCTGATCATCTCTAATATAAATATATGGAGATTTAGGCAAAACATCAATATGAAACTTGAAAGTTAGCATACTAAGAAAACAATCATGAAATTTAAAAGTTTATATGTAAAAAAAGAGGAAAATGTAATAGTTTTGCTTTGAGGCAACTGTCATTAGAAAACAACCATAAAACAATAAGGAAACAATAGCTTAAAGGTTTGTCAGATAAAAAGCAAATCTCTGTATTTCTAGCTTGACTTCAATGTGCATGTCACAATGTGTACATGATTGTGAATGCACTTATATTAATACTGCATAGCCATTCCCACATGATATTATAATGAAAGTACAACAGTTCCTTAATCCATACCCATTATAAAACATACTTGACTGTTTTTACATTATTCCTCATTCCCGTGGCAACATACTAGTGTCATGCAAGGTTACTCCATCTCAATCTAATGTCACATGAAGTCACATGATAATTTCCAACTAGTGTCACACAAGGTCACTCAATCTCCAACTAACGTCACACAATCTTCACCTGACCCAGGAAGTCTACTGTTCATAAATGCTAATCTTGGCTTCAATCAACTTGTGTAGTGTGGTGTGACAGACTTATGGTCCACTACCTTCCTTGCCAGTCAGCCAGTATGTCACCATTTTCCCTTTGCCTTTAACAGTAACTAACCCACGGCAATTGAAGGTGAATCCACGTGTTGACAGGATGTCATAAATACTTCTGGCCACCTGACACAAACAACACAATAAAGGTTAAGTCACACCTTAATGAGATAGCACAACATGTATGTGAGGAGTAGCTGGTTACCACCAAGCATATGGCCAGGACATCCCAACAAGATGTTGGTACCTTGTGTAAGTGTGTCATAGTAATGAGCAGGCTAACTACCTGTACAGAGTCTGGTTTTCCAGTACTATACATTCTACTAGCAACATTGACTGTATCACCCCAGATGTCATACTGTGGCTTATGTGCACCTATTACACCTGCGACAACTGGACCAAAGTTTAAACCTACAAATAAAGGGAAAAACTTCAATGTTAATCATCAAAGAACTTGTTCAATACAAGTTTGCAAACGACAGTATGTTTTAAAAGCTGTTCAGGTTTCAAGACTTAGACTGCTTAGGGACTGGAGCCAGTCAGATTGTTCTGTTTTCATTCAGACCAGCTTGCAATATGATAACAAAACAATACATAAATAGTCCACATTAACTGATCCTACAACAACTAGCTCTTCATATGCTAAATATACTGGCTGATGAACAGCTGATTCATTTAGAAGATGGTATCTAGATTCTTAACAACCTAGAGAGTCTACTACTAAAAATGTATATTCCATCAGACTTACCAACTTTCATTTGAAAGTTATTGAAGGAATGAAGGTTAATGTCTTGTAGCTTCTGTTTCATAGCCATTGCAAAGTCTGCCATTAGTACAACGTGGTTGAGGGTTGCTAATTTTTCCTGCAAACCAGGAAACCAAAAGAAAAAGTGAGAATACTGTGATACCCATTCTTCTAGCATGTTACACCATGTAATACCACTCACTGTATCCAATCAAATCATTATGAAGTTGAATAATAAATAATAAAATAAATGCATATGGCCTTCAGCCTCATGAGTTACTGACTCATAGCCCATTGAAGCTAGACGACTAATTGGTAAATAGCCAGCTGACCTGTGATTCTGGCTTGATACCAGATGCTGCCATGTATGTTTCTCCTATTGTCTTGATCTTTTCTATGCAGTTGAAACGAGGTTCTGCAAGTAGCTGATGGATAAACAAGCAGTGATGATCAGGAAATGATGATTTTAAAATAAACATATTATGCTTTTCATTCCTGTGTCTTACCTCGTCAAAATCAGCTAGCATTTCATTTAATAATCTTAAGCATTCTACACCTTCTCCATTTGCATCCAGTTCAGAGTAAAACTCTGAGAAGTTGCAAATGTTGGAAAACATTACAGCAACTTTGTCGCAAGACTGATAATACAAATCCTGAAAAAGAAAAATGATATTCCTCTAAATATAAGCTTGTTGCTGAAATAGATAATAGACTGCTACTTAGCACTAAGCATAAGACTGTTGCTATGCAACAACTATTATCCTGACAGTTTGTTGCTAGGAAACAGGTTACTTAGTACCTCATTCTTCTTTGACTTTTGGTTGAGGAAATGCTGTGCTACATGGACAGGTAAGATATTGTACAGTAATTTCTTATTGTATTCTCTTAGTTGTTCCATTTCTTTCTTCTCCTCAGTGGCCTACAAGAGAAACACCCATTGATAGTTATAAATTAAAAGCATGAGTACTGCCATTCATTATATTATGTATTAAATGGTCTCCATGCAGTCCAATTGAGAAATAATTGAATGAGGGAAATTCTGAGGACTGCCAAAATTGGATAAGGCCATAAGTTGAGTCCAATTTGGCAGTCAAAGAAATATTTGAGTCAAATTGTTTCTTACTTGTACAGCATGGAGTCCTATTGGCTATTAATGAAATAGCTACCTATTAATTCATATTAGGTAAAGAACTGTCAAATTATAAAATAATTGAACATTTACAGTTACCTATGGGATTAATAGGTAGCAACAATCATATAAGAAATGATAATGATGATGTTCATTGATCATAGAGCAAGTAAATAAGGGATTGACAGTGGATGGTGATGGTAGATGATCGTATGATGCTGCTGGTGATTTTGATGGCAGTCATAAAGATCATATGAATATCAGGAAAAAAGTTACTAACAAAAATAATAATATACACAATACTATACACACCTGGAGCTTCCAAAGGAAATCCAGTCTTGCTATTTGTTCATGCTTAAAAAGAAAAATGATACAATGAAACAATGCTCAACCACCAGTAAAATAAAAATATGAACTATGAATGTTTGTTAACAAATAATGTTATCACAGCAGCAGGGTTTATCATTAACTGCCAGAGTTATCAATGGTAGTTTAAGGCAGAGAATTTGGCTCAGGTGCTATAGCATTCTCTGATGGCAGGCAGGCAGGCAGGCAGCTCTAGATACTTACAAGATATCCATGACCAGTCAGTGAAATTATGAACATCACAACTACTAGAATAGAAAGATGAGTCCAGGGAATAAAATTATCCAGCCTGAAACACATAATATTCAACTATCAGACTATCTATGGTTCCATAGTTAGGATAGACTTTTGCATAGCATTATAAACTTACAGTGCAACTTCTGTAATGGGAGTCACTTAGACTAGTTAGATAAGAGAGCCAAATAAAATGTAAATGAAAAGGCATTCTAATTTTTGGTTGTCAAACCAATCAGAAACCTAGACTGCAGATGTTAGACTGCTAGACTGCAGTTGTAAACAGCTAGATAGCCCTTGAAAGGCTAATGTTGTTTTTTTTTTTTTGCATCTTTCTGTTTAACACCACTACCCAAAGTTGGAATGTACTGTTTTTATTCTACAATTCAATTGGTTCTCAAAGTCTAGGTAGCCCTAGTCATAGTAGTTGCACTGTTATAATGCAAAACATTATAACAATAATAAAAAGATTAGAAAAACAGTACTTACAGACAATATTGTACATCATCATGTCGACTAAACTGTTTGTGAACAAGATCATAGACATAAACCAGTATTATATATATCACTGACATAAAGCTAAGCAAGCAGAGCTTCTGTAATGTACTCAGTTGAAGGAATACTGCACATGCTATCATTACTAGTGCTATACTGAATGTAAAGTACTGTGGAGGAAAGAAAACAATAGTATTAGCACTGGATTTCTAAGCCAAGAGACCCATAAACATAGTACATTGAATAGTGTCTGATATGTAGGTCAAACTTTTTTAAAGGTAAGGAATGAGTGTCAACACTGGTGAAGGGTGTGGTGAGGGTAAGGGCTGAGATGGTAACCCAGGGATGAGTGTCAACACTGGTGAAGATTGTGGCAGGGTAAGGGCTGAGATGGTACCCCAGGTATGAGTGTCAACACTGGTGAAGGGTGTGGTCAGGCAAACCTTTTACACCTCTCACCCTTGAGGAGCAGCATCTCTGCCTTTAATAAGATCACACCCTTGACCTTTGATTTTTAAACTAGCATGAAGGAGAAGAAAAGATTAAGTACCTGTGGATAGTCACATGAGGCATTTTCTGGATTAAGCGGCAGATGATAGCACTTCTCAACACTAGAACCATTGACTGTTGCATTGACTGTTTTTGGAGTTTCACATCCAAACTATAAAAAATAGGTATTATCTAGAGTTACACATTATGTCAATCAATGCAGCCACTGGAATTGACTTATTAGAAGTACTTACCATGCCACCAATAGATGCAATATAAAGGATGAATATCAGGACTGATGCAATGACATGACAAATAACACGTGAACCACAGATCTTAGTGGAGATGTCTTTCATACATCTGGGGAATGACTGTCAAGACAATACCAACATTATTTAACTATTAATGATATAATACTTGCTAATATTCTACAGTTCTGTATTTTTTACTGAATCTATATTTCAGGCTTGCTTGCACTGTTTTCCCTCATTTTAGTTCTAATCATTCCCTTGAGAATAATTCCTTTACTTAAACACCATATTTGGGACATAGCTCAAACAAAGAATTTAATCCAAAGATGGATAGAAAGTAGTTTCAAATGGGAAAGTAACACAGTATATCAAAGCTGATAGAGGTATTTTAGCCATGTTTATTCTGAAACTTACTTTGAACTTCTCTGAAATGATCAGAATATATACCACAGAAAAGGCTACAAAAGCTGTCAAAAAGACTCCCAGCATTATTTGATTCCTGTTCAACAAACAAAATGAAGTAATTATTTGATACTTGCATTTATAACTGGTATTACTTTAGTTTTCTGGGAAATATAAATAATATTAACTAATAACTAGACAAAGACAAATCATGACATTCATGACTGCTTTGATAAACAGGACCCTTAAGTGGAATTCAGACAGTGAGAGTGCATTATAGAAAGAATGCAGTGAGTGCCTATTGTAGAAATAACTTTAAAGAGATTAGTGGGAGGACATACCCCCTGCAACCCCCCCCCCCCCCCCCCCCCCCCCAGCTTAGTAATTGCTTATGGGGAAAAAAACATTAAATAGATCTGCAAGCCAGGAAATAGCTAGTACTGTACCTTGGTAAAACCATGACTTGGACCAAGACAATGAAGATAAATATAAGGAATATACAGGATGAGTAAGACTTGAACATGTGGTCCTTCTCTTGAGAGTACTATTAGCAATAGAATGTATGGCACAGCAGTTAATAACATTAATAATGTGCATAATATTCAGTGTCTCCTAATAAAGCAATAATGCTATCACACTTGTTACAGTGCTACTGAAAAACCGTGGGTACCTACAAATATTTCAAGAACATTTCTTAACCAATCAGAAGCATTACTGTTATCTTTCCATTATCTTGTGGTTAGAAATTCAATTCTGATTGGCCAAAGAACAATAGAACATTCCTGGAATATTCCTAGGTGCCCACAGTTTTTCAATTAGCACTGTAACTGAAGAGGGGCTGGAATATGGTGAGGGTAGCGCTCTACTCTCTTTTTAGTTTTGCTTTGGTTCTTTTCCAATGGGTCCTTTGTAAAAAAAAACTTATAAATCACAGTGGGCCCATCTAAATTTCTCTGCACAAGTGCAGCCATTGTCCAAAACAACCCAACTTGAGACATCAACAAACATTATACTAAGTAAAAACATTGCTTACTTTTTCTTCATTTTCTTCATTCTTGAATGTTAACACCAGTGGTCTTACATGTTCTTTACGTAACCTAAAAATAAGAATTGGTAAATTGAAATGCCAATCCCTCTTCCATAAATGGGTGGGGTTTATTGGAAGCTGACAACATGTGCAATACTGAAGTTTAAAGATCTGCCGCTGATAATGTTATTGTTACTGTTGTTGTTGTTGTGCTGCTAGTTTATTGCTGCTGCACTGCTGTTATTGTTACTGTTGTCGTTGTTGCTGTTGTTGCTTCTGTTGTTTTGCTGCTGATGTTGCTGTTGTTGTTGCTGTTGCTGTTGTTCCTGCTGTTGTTGTTGCTGTTGTTGTTGTTGTTGCTGTTGTTGCTGTTGTTGCTGCTGATGTTGCTCTTGTTGTTGCTGTTGCTCCTGCTGTTGTTGTTGCTGTTGTTCCTGTTGTTCCTGTTGTTGTTGTTGCTGTCATGGTTGCTGTTGTTGCAGTTGCTGTTGCTGTGGATGTTGCTGTTACTGTTTTGAATACTACTACACCAGTTTACATGTAAAAGCACTTTAGGGTTCCTTCTTACCGATCAATGCTTCTGGCATCAATAGAACTTCCTAAAAATTCATTGACTTCATCTTCAGTGTCTTGCTTGGCAGAAGAAAAACCAAGCCTAAAAAGATATAATCATGATTAGTTTGTGCAACCTAAACACTTATAGATTAAACAATCATTAAGCCACTTACCTGTCTTCAATCTTGTCTTGATCTTTTTCTCTTTTTGGTTCTTTAAAAATTTCTTTCTTTTGTTGGAAAGAACAGAAAATAATTAGTCGGGTATGATTATAATAATTATTACAATAACGCTTGCAATTTTGCACAGTTCCCAGCAGGAGTAGTTGTGTGCATATCAATATATTCTTTTACAAAAACATTTCTCACCTTCTGTGACATTAAATGCATCATCATCATCATCATCATCATCATCATCAAACATGGGAAAAGAAATAGAATTTGATTCTACTTTACTTTGCTGCACAGGTCATTACATCATAATTATCACACTCATTACATACACTAACATCTGTTCTGGCTGTAGAAAACAGAATTACGTTTAAGGATATCTTAAATGCTATATCATGAATCTGAACAGTGGTTTCAATTTCCAATAATAACAGCCCCAAGCTTGAAGTTCAATATTCTTTTTTCTCATACAAACAGATCAATACAATATACACCTGATACAAACCACACACAATCCCAATACCTGCCATTCCTTTGTCTGCCTATGATCACTATCCTTTCCTGTCTTACTACCTACAAGCAATGAGTCAATCACACACAGGAACATTTCAGAAATAAAATAGAAAAGTTCCAAATAAGATACTCTGACAATCTGTGCACTGGGATTGTTTAAAAGTCAAGACTATTAATATTGTATACAGCTGTATTTCAAAACAAAGTTGGAGAAGATTTTGTTGCATGTTGCATTTCAAGCCCAAAATACACCATGGGCATTGTGGATACAATCACTAAAGGTCATAGCCATATATGGAATTTTCCCAGACTCTGCATATTTTTCCAGCATATATTTGTTGGTTTCTATTTGTTCCTCTGCACTGACATGGGTAAGCTTGATAAGTATTATACATGGGCATAAGTACAAACCTTGACTGGATGCTCAGCTATAACCAAGTAGGTCTGTATGTGATACTGCTTGAGATATGCACTTCTTTCTTCTCCATGTCCATCTTCTACTTGATAATCACCATTCAAACAGCTCAACACATCCTTGGTTATATGAACACGCCTACAGACAATAATCATTATAATATACTAGTTTTTAACTCTAACTTTCATTGATAATTTTACATAGTGTTTTAACATTATGGAGGGCAAAAGTACTGTAGTTTTGATCAAGTTACTGTATTAGTGTATTATAATGGTAACAAAATTCTACCAACAACTGACAGGAACATTAAATTGCTTTGCTGTGATATAATTAGGATCTATATAGCCTGTATTCTGGCATCAATTATTATTCAGAAAGTTGGATGAAAGCATTTTTAAGCATCACCATATTCATAATCAAAATTTGTGAAAATTTCGTCACTGTTATCAAGCACTTATATGATTTAGCAAGGTTATGTTTTTTCTTTGGTGATTTTGAAAATATTTGCATATTTTCTTGATATACTTACCCTGGTAAGCCACCAGACTCCATGTGATTGGCTATAGTGACATCATTAGACCATACATCATACTGCCATTTAACCAATCCCAGAACACCACTATGCACTTTACCCTGGTGAATACCAACCCTCATGTTCAAGTTGACCTTTGTTGCATCACGCACAAACCTACACAGTAAATATCATATATAGTTATAGTTAGCATGCCTTATTAGTGTACCTACGTGTGGCTAGTATTAAGCCAAGATGTTATATTATTACTTACGAGATAGCATCAATCATAGCTAGTGTAGCAAGTATTAAGCCAAGATGTTATATTATTACTTACGAGATAGCATCAATCATAGCTAGTCCCATCTCAATACAACAGTGAGCGTGGTCAGGGCGTGGCTCCTGTAATCCAGACACACAGTAATAACAGTCTCCAAGAATCTTGATTCTCAGGCAGTGATTCTCCTGTTGATTAGAAACCACAGGTATTGATTTATAAATTTGGCTCAGGGATTTTATTCTCATTCAGTTTTGAAATGATAGTAGGTCATGAACTAGCTGGAGATCATGAAGTACTCTCAAAAAACAAAATAAAAAGGGAGTACCCCACTTCGTTTCAGAACTATGAAAGATTAAAGACGTCTTAATGAAATTCTGCTTATCAAAACAATGGAATGATGTCATCATGATGAACATGTGTAAACTAAAATTATACGTACAAAGGATGTGCGTGAACAATGCCCATGAATGTCATGTAAAAATGTAAAAATTAATGAAATATTGTGATAAAACCTTGCAAACGAATTATGCTCAAAGACTAAAAGACTGTGTGTGAAGGAGATGTACAGATTGTTAGAATAGCTTACATACCACAGCCAGTTGATCAAATCTTGCATACAACTCATTGAGAGTCTTAATAAGATTCTGTGCTGTACACATAGAAGAAAGCACAGTAAAACCTTCAATGTCTGCAAATAAAATGCTGAAAAATAAAATCGTAAAAATGATCATTCTTAATTTATTTATTTTCTATTATTTCTAGTGTCACCAAACTCAAAGGATGCAAATGTTTGTGAAAGAGGCTGGATACAATCTAAATCTATCTAGTTAATTTGTTGTATGGCAACACTAGATCACAACAGCACTGGTCAAAGGACTTCATGCATCACATCCTTCGCTCTATTGATATAAGTAACCTAGCTGTCTGATAGGAATATTTTCCTCAGCTCACCTGACATTCTCATGTTTTTTGATGTAGATCTTGTGGAATTGCATGTTTTTGGACCTTCCAGTTTCAATATCATCTTTCATCTCCATGGCAACATTCCGTGGAAGAACAGACAGGAGGAGCCGTTCCTGTGAGCAACATTAATCAATGTTAAGATACATAATGTACACAGAGATTTTTAGGTTACTATCTATATATTAACCAAGTATGAATGACAAAATCTTACTAGGAGTATAGACAAATGTGTCCTGGATATTAAAACACAATAAAAAGTTATAACCAAAGAAAGAGTATGAAAAAGTAGAACACACATGGGAATAAACAAAAAGGTGAAGGTAAAGTTAATTAATTTTACTTTCAAACCAAACCCAATTCTTCAGAGGCAGGGACTGATACATAAAGGGTGCGCCTTCTAATAACTATCAATGCTCCTTATTACAGGTATTTAAAGCTAAAGCTGCACAGAACAAGGAGAAGTCAAAACAGACATGGAGATCCTGAGGGTTGAACCACAGACCTCTAGCTCCAAAGACCACAAACTAACAGACTGTGCTAAGCTTTCTCCTTACTGCAGTTTTCCACATATCGCAGTAAAAAAAACAAATTTCTGCATGCAGTTCGTAACTACTGAGTTTGCAGAATGTCGAAAACCGCTGTAAAGAGAGTGAGATTGGAGACATTGTTCAACCCAAATGATGATCATAAAAAAAACCCAAAACTAGAATAGAGGAAAGAATAACAGATACAGGTATGTATTTCCATGCTCCTAAATATTACCCATTGCATGGATGATCCCTTGACTTAGTGAATAAAGAGGAAATAGTAATAAGAGTGATTTAGGTAATTATTTAGTACCTGATTCTGATTCTCCTTCTGACTTGTCAGTCTTGACTCAATGCATCTTCTTGTTTCTAAGAAAGCTTGTCTTTGAGAGATTTCAGTAGGGTAATGTGTGAACACTCCAGTCAGGTTTGCACAAATAAAAAGAAACAGATTGGCTCCCAGCTATAAAACAAAATTTGACCTCAATGATAAAGTAAAGTAAAGAAAATGAAAAATTCACTATTACAGCAATACAAAACCAAAACAAATAAAAATGATTTTCAATATGTCATTAATGATTCCCAAGAACATGAAATAACAACAGTACTAACTGCTGTTGATTCATGACCCATGACTAGCAACAAATAGAAAAAGAAACCTATGTTAAATGGATGATTTATTATTGCACAAAATAATGTAAGACACAAGGCTTCATGAATATGCTTTATCTTCCATTCATATTTTGACAAATGTTATAATACTTATTACATTTGTAACTATTGTCATCATATCTTTGATCAGAATAGGATAATGTGAATAGACCCCTTGCAGTACGATGGAATGCAGTTTCTAATTCTCATGAGATTGAAATTCTTTTGTTTTGACCTTCAAATTGAGCTCCTTTGATGTCGCATGCAAGGGGTCTATAAGACAGGGATTATATGGGCACAGCAATAAAGTCAGGAAAAACCCTTACACAGATAAAGAATAAATGTCTTAGAAACTTCTTGGAAATGTTTGTTAATTCAAAATGAAATGAAACAGGTTTCTTTGTACATCATTAAATAATCAGTTGTTGTATCATCTACGTATATTTATTATTTTCTGAGCTTTTGGATTTGAGATCCACCATCAGGGAATATGGTGTTACAAATGAAAAATAACTAAACTAACAGAGCAATCCAAAAGAAAAAAAGTAACAATTAACTGTGCAGGCAGGAAAAACCTATGATGCCGCACATTAATAGACATGAATCGAGACCTGATCATGCACTGAATTCCATAGACTGGCAACAAATCCGGCTCAATTATACTCAAAAAGAAATATTTCTTTTTAATATATTGTCTTTTAACTATATGATAGTTTGTTTCTAGCAAAAACTCATAATATGTTATTAACCAAAGTTCAAGGTTTAACTTAATAAAAATATTTTTTAATCAATCAATACCAATCAAGGTTAGTAAATATGCCATGCTGCAAATAATTTGGAATATATAATGTGTAAAATGAAACCCTTTCTTTAACACAGGAAGTTGGAATTACATTCATGATAATGAAAAGAAAATAGGAATTAAGCTTTCTTTCAAATTGCATACACTTTGGTTTGTAAATATCTATAGAACTTTTTCTTGTACAGTAAGTATAGAAACTAGAAAGAAAGCTTGCTATTTGTTGATTAGTCTGGGAATATGCCAGCTATCAACACCTGCTTTAATTTATGCAGCTGCCTTTAAATTGAAAATCGAAAAAAAAAAACAAATATTACAACTGAGTGAAACTAAAAATGCTCTCATTCTTTTTAGGCATACATCATAATTGCATTATAATTAATAATACAAGCCTGTAGAACTACCCTGTTTTGCAATTACATGTGTCATTATCTACATTCTATTTTTTGTTCATTATTTTGATCATTCAACAATATTCAACTTTTGCTGTTATAATTAGTGTAGTGTCTTTAATATTGTTTTCCTCATTAGCAAGGTTTTCTTTCCTTTACTTCTATAGATCTTTTCATGGGAATGGTCAAATTTCACATTTTCTACATTATTAATAAAGGACCTATAGTAAATAATTTGTCAAGTACTTGGCATGATAAGTGACATGTACCTAAGCTAGAAAGGCTAGTTTTAATTTGTTGCAGCTGAATTAGGCTGTGCATCCTTCTCATTTTTCTAAAAAGATCCAACAATCTGTCATTTTGGAAATAAAAGTAAAAATAGAGTACCATTGATATGTTTAAGTTTCAAACAAATAGTAAGAATAGTTCCTAAGAGAACACCACATGTCAGCCATGACAGAAAACACATTCAATTACCAGTATTCATAATACTGAAAATTTTGCAAACACAGAATTTATTATTTCTGATTAGAAACTTTACAGTAACGATCCATCATAAAATAAAAATCCGAGCTATTATTATTTGAACGAGAAAAGATTGAGAAAACTGAAAACCAACAAGAAAAACAGATGAAAGATAAAAAGAAATAAACGGTAACCTGCAGTCAATTCACCCATGGACCAACTCGCCCACGTCAATTCGCCCACGCCCATGCCAATTAATATCTCTTTAAATTGGGTTCTATACAATCTGACATTATCTTATATCTTTTTTTTAAGAAGTACACAACCTGAATTTATTTTTATTTTAGATTAAGATACCTCCTATCTGCAGAATACATCATTATTTTATAGTAAATTATCATTCACAGGAACTATAACATACTTTCAAAAACACATCCTAAAGCAATTATCTACAAGACAGCATCATTGCGTTCATTCTTAATGCTTCCTTGATCTTGCAGCAGCTAGACATTTTTTGTAAAATTATTAGACTAACACTGTAACAAATAGTAACTTTACACCTGCGGGGGCCTGTCTGTATGAAGGGTTGAGCTATCATAATATATATCTTCCTATCTTCCTATCAGCAGCTAGACATTTTTTGTAAAATTATCAGACTAACACTGTAACAAATAGTAAGTTTACACCTGCGGGGGCCTGTCTGTATGAAGGGTTGAGCTATCATAATATATATCTTCCTATCTTGGAATGAGATAAACTTAAACATAGCCATTGGATAGCCACTACATTAAAAGGAAGCAAGCTTAAATAAGATATTTTTACAAGAAGCTCTAGAGTGAAGGCTTCTGATACACATGCTGTGTATACCATTGATTAGTGCACATATACATGAAGTCAAGCCAGACATCATGGAAACATTGAAGGTTCTACTAAATTTATTCATAAATAGTTTTAATAATGTAGTTTTTTTTTATGTGACCCATGCTCACTATCAATCATTGTTTAATAGATTACCAAACATAAATTATGTTTATATAGTATATATATATATATATATATCATATAGTTTTCATATAAATTTGTTCTTTATAGACCTTTTGAAAATTGCTTGAGTGAACAAAGGCTCCAAGTCAAGGCTGGACTTGATGTGTTCAACGTTTTCTCTGTTTTATACAGTCCATCCTTAACTTTGAACCATTATTTCACACAAGCTAATTTTAAAAAAGTCTATTACTATACGGCAATTCAAGCTCTCTCAACCACAGGCAATTAACAGTTAGTGTGGTTATGTTTAATTTTTTTTTCAGTTTTTCATGGGACATTTTGAAGTAAATAAGTAACCATGCTTTGAGTTAACACAGCTGTACTAGCCATAATCAGTTAGGAGCACTCTTTAAACTATGAACAATGAATATAGAATGACATTTTTGGACTTGATATCATAGGAACCAAAAAATGGCAAATATTTGGTATATATTTGCATGGGCTTGACTTTTACCAGTCTCGTCAAAATAATTACCCCACAAATATATGCCAGCGTCAAAACCATTTAATCCTTACATCCTCAAAAACATAAATATGCCCACTGTCAACTTCCTAAATGAAAATAATTACCAAACAAATGTATGACAGCGTCAAAACCATTTAATCCTTACGTCCTCAACAACATAAATATGCACACTGTCAACTTCCTAAATTAAGTTAACAGGGAAACTAATATATCTGGCAGGAGATTGAGATTTCTAATAATATTTTTTTCAAAACTGTTCATCATTTACTAACTGACATAAACATTTAACCATTACTATATCAAATATCAGAGCCCTAGTTTGACAACATGACATATATCAAGGGAAGTTCCATAATTACACTATATTATCTGGTAAATAATACTTATTTTAGTAACATATTCCTGTTCCTTTACAGTTATTGATAGGTGTTTTCCAAAACCTTAGTTCTCAACTGAAGAATTTGGAACTAAAAATCCCTTATGGATAGTGAATGAATAAAATAACTGAGTACTATATATGGCCATCTTTTTATCACAAACACTCACACACTACTGCTACTTCAACCATTCAGGAAGAAAACCAGGCAGCCAGCCTCTGGGATTGGTAAAAGGTTATTCAATATGCATATTTGGGCTTTTTATATCTTCTAAATTATATCTGCTAAATTAAATTCTGCACACTATTGAAACCCAAGTGTGCAAATAGGCTCCCATATTATCAAAGACATAATAAGAATGACATCTCAAAGACTAGCTGTCTCAATAAATAATTCGTTCAACTTTTAATGTATGCAACCCATTCCTTTTCTATCAGGGTGACACAGGGGTAACACTAGAGGTGTGGTTCATGCTCAAATAAAATAATAATTTGTCGTCAAAATTATATGTGATGAGTGAATTTTATGAATATTAATTGCATTAAACATGATGACTAGCACCCTGTTCTATTAGTCAGTGTTCCATTAAATACCCATACAAATATATTTTTAGTATAATTTTAGACTTGAACATAGACTTCTGCGCACTTCGATTGGTCAAGCCAACAGTGATTCTGAGATGATTATCACTGCTGTTTTTTGTTTCTCTGATATTCATGTACGAAATTATACTAAAACAATTATTCACCTCAGGCTCGGTGACTATGGTGAATATTCACTTGAAGACTCCTGGCTCTGTAAATAATCACTTTGCCTTCAGTAAATGATTGTTAAATATACCTATTCCTCTTTCAAAAAGGGGAAAAAGGATGTCACTCTAGCTATCAATATCACACTGTGCCATAATGTTTTTCCAATTTAAATTAAAGGTACTATACATCGACTTTTGCCCCAGCCCCCTGGAAATCATAATACCTATCATGGAGATGGTGGATGATAACAAAACATTCATTCTTACTAGTTATCCTTATCTTCAAGAAATCAAATGCTATGTCTCTATTATTGATAGGAAAACAAAACCTTCAAAAAATAACTTCTTGTGTGTGATTAAATCTTTATACTTTAAGCCTTTTTTTTTAATATCATCTCAACATCTTGGAAAAGATTCTCTGAAACTGTTAAAGGGTCAGTACTTCATGTAAGACCCCATGTAATGGCACTATTATGCATGGTTCTACACTGTATACATACACGATATAGGATATACTTATAATGTTACT